CAGAATCCCAGAGGCGCCTGCCGCAGGCATGTAGCCGTCGTGGGGCAATATTTTTTTCTTGTGGGGCACCCATTATGCATCCCTCCCCCCCCCCTCTCCTGAAGGGGAAAAATGGTTGGGATTTTTAAACTCTAATTCCAGACTTGGGATCCCCAGGTCCCACCTGGAGTCTGGCATCCCTCCAGTCTGGAGGCGGGGCTTGCTTTGCCTGCGGAGGACTCCGTAAGGATACAGAAGGCTCCTATCATATTGACAGAATTGGCTTATCACCTCAGCTACTCTTATCCCATGGATTTGGCCAAAGGGCTAATTAAACAAAGAGTTGAAGATACTGAGCGACAATCTGACATCTCTGGGGCTTCCAAACTCGGGGAGTTGTTAAATAAGTATCCAAAGCACCTTTGAGCCGGCAACATACTTGACTTCAGTGGAGGGAAAGGATTCTAGGAGGGCCTTTGCCCTAGCTGGATGTTCTGCTTCCCACCTGCGGTTATTCAAGGCAGGTACAACCAGGGCTATTTTGGGGCAGGAAAGCACAGGAACGGAGTTCCGGCTGGCTCCCAAGTTGGCCACGCCCAGCAGGAACTCATTCGCATAATATGCCACACCCAGCAGCAGAAACTCATTAGGATTGGCTACATTAGGGGGGTGCGGCCTAACATGCAAAGGGGTTCCTGCTACAAAAAAAGGCCCTGGGTTTTGACAACAAGGAAGGTAAACAGAATAAGAAGCGAAAGGTGGGTGTGGCTGGATGACCACACTTCTGGTAACATGGGGGTGTGGCCTAATGTGCTAATGAGCTATGCTCTCATGGGTGTGGCTGGATATGCTAATGAGTTCCTATTGTTGGGTGTGGCCTATTATGCTAATGAGTTCCTGCTAGGCTTTTTCTATAAAAAGAGCCCTGGGTACAATAATACCCCCTACTCTGAAAGGCTATGCCCATGCCCCTTAAGCGAGGTTGAATCGGTAGAGCACCTGGGCACATTAATACAAACAAAGCAAGGCTTCACTGGCTCCTATTAGGTAAGAATACAGAGATTACACGTTCAGTTGCTGAGTTTTGTGCATTAATGCTTAGATTGTGGGGATCGCATTTTAAAAGTTCTTAAATTCAGATTTCTGTTTTTTGTATTTTGTATATCATGGCTGTTTTATGCTTACTCTGTACGTCGGTCTCAAGACCGCGATAATGAACTAACTACAGAAAGCTGGGGGGTGGCGGTGGCGTGAGACTTGCTGTGGTCCCTGGCAGTGGCGGCAAGCACAAGAAATAAGTCAGGGGGCCTGGCCAAGGTGGTAAGTTGAGGGGCCGTGGTGGAAAGTTGGGGGGCTGGGCCTCAGACTGCCCCACTGTAGCTACGGGCCTGGCTTATGGGCTCACAAAGGTGGGGGGGATGCCTGGGAAAGATGGGAGGGGAGTCCCATCCCACGGGATAAATAAAGGGGAACTGAAAGAGCCCAAGGGGAAGCTGGGACTGGGGAGACCAGGGGGGTCTGACCGAGAGCGGGTCGTGAGGGCCTTGGGCAGCATGTGGCAGTCAGAGGAGCTCTGCTCGCCCACCCCAAGGCAGATGAGCGGGATCCTTTTGGAGATCTCGGATTTGGTTAGGCCAGGACCAATGTTCCCTCTAAGCTGTGGAGTCTTGTGAGCAAAAATGCTACTTTGTGAGCTACGGGCATCAAAGTTGTGAGCAAGCGATTTGGCTGCTGCATAAATTAGTCTGCTCTAGAGCCATCCTCCCTGAGCTAAGACAAAAATGTGTGAGCCGGAGGCTAAAAAACTGTGAGCTAGCTCACACTCACTCAGCTTAGAGGGAACACTGGCCAGGACCTGTTTCTCAGGGTTGTCCCAGGGCTGAGCCTTGTCTGGCCCGGGCGGTCTTCCAAGAGAGGAGGCTGAACCGGGATTGAGTGACAGGGCGCACTGCAGAGCATTCTCAGGAGGGGCTCCGTGCACTGGTGTGCCAGAGAATTCACCGTGCAGAGTCGGTTTCCATACACGGCAAAGTGGCTGCGAAATCAGCTTTGTGGGGCGCGGGCGTGGAGTTCAGGGCACCCGAGTTCCAGTCCGATTCCGGGGTGTGTGTGTTGAAGCTGAGTTCTCAGAGGCCGAAGAAGTCCTGCCATTGGGCGTGCAGAGACAGCTAGCTGGGGCGTCCTTGATTGTCTCCGGAAGCGGGATCGATGGCGTGCCCTGCGGGAGCACTAAAAAGCTTTCCATCGATGGCTTCCGTCTCTGGCCCGAGGTGGGAGATCATAGCCCAATCAATGGCCGGATCAATAGTCGAGCAGAGAGTCGCTGCTCCGTCACCAGTGAAGCCACTGGCTGGGAGGCAGAGGGGGGAGGACTGCTGAGGGCAGCCGGGCCAGACGCTCCGGAGAGGCCTCCTTTCGCCACCCCCAAGACCGGAGGTGGCCCCGGTAGAGAGCCTCAGAGAACAGTGGGGAGCAGCCTGTGGGGGCCGTTCCCCCTTCCCACCCCCCACCCCCCAGCTTTGCTAACAGGCTTCGGAATGGACCTATGTTGAGACAGGTTCATTGGTGCAAATGGAAACGAGGGGCGTTTGGAAGTGCTGGAGGCTGGGGAAGCGTTGAGGAGAGGAGTGAGTTGTCGGGTGGGAGACGATGCAGGCGCGCGGCTTCCTTCCTGAATGTGTGTGTGTGTGGGGGGGGGTTCATAAGACGTGGCAAGTTGAGCCGCCATTTTTTCTTCGTCCAAGTTGGTCTATCAGGACCTGCTGAGAGTCTCATCCTTCTCTGCCAGTCGTCGATGGGCAACTTTTCTCCTTGCCGGCCCAGTGCTGGGCTGCGCAGACAGGCCCTGTCTTTTCAGGGGGTCACAGGAAATGGCTTCCAGCTAATCCCACATGAGTGGGGCACTCTGCACATGCTCTGAAGGTCCTACACATGTCAGGGCTACAGAAGGCTTCGTTGCCAGCTCCGGGTGGGGAAAGAGCTGGAGACTTTGGGGGTAGAGCCTGGGGAGAGGGCGGGGTTTTGGGAGAGCAGGGACCTCAGCAGGACACAAGGCCATCCAGTCCACCCTCCAAAGCGGGGATTGGTTTCCTTTGTCTGGAGAGCAGCTGCGATAGTGGGAGATCTCTGGGCCCCACCTGGAGGCCGGCAGCCCCGCCTCCAGGGTGGAACCTGTCATTTGGCGAGTCAGCCATCTTGAGTGAGGTGGCAGGCTGGCGTGGGGAGGGACCTCAGCGAAGCTGGCATGGGCGACCCCCTCGGCATTGGCACGCAGAATGCCCCTGCCCCAGGCCATCCCTCTCGAACTCCAGAGTGCCCCCTTTGCCCGGTGACTTGCCAAAACGTGCATCTTTTGGAAGCGGCGTAAGGCTCGGCTCTGAACTCCCTGCTGAGGACACACACGGCAGGATGATGCTTATATCCCCGCGTAAGTGGGAGGAGGAGGGTCACGACTCACACAGCTTGGCATGGGGAGGGATGTCGGTGAAAGGGGCACATCTTCCCCGGCCGCCCTTTGCTGGACGTGTTCCGTGTGAGAAAGATGTCGACGTTCAGTCGTTCCCTATGGAATTTGGCCGCCGCATAGGGAAAAGACACACACACCCCTCCTCCCGGTGCGCACAGCCACGTTGGAAGTGTGATGTTGGTAATGTCGGGGCCCTGACCCGGATGGCCCAGCCTAGCCCGATCTCGTCAGGTCCCAGAAGCTAAGCAGAGTCGGCCGAGGAAGACCAGGGTCATGACATCTTTTGCCTTGAAAACCCCACCAGAGGTTGCCCTAAGTCAGCTGTGACTTGGGGGTAGCCGCCAGGTCCAGGTTCCCCTGCTTCTGGAGGCTCCTGTCAGCCCCGGCCAGTGGGGGAAGCCCCGCCCCCAAGAGCCACCACCCGCCCCGCCCCCCCGCCTCCCCTCCGGCCCGATTTAAAGGGCTTTAGCTCATCGGAGCTGCGGTGGCTCAAGTGGTGAAGACACTGAACTGCAGGCTGTGGAAGGTCGGTAGTTCAGCAGTTCGAGACCCGAATGTGCCGCGTGACGGGGTGAGCTCCGGTTCCAGCTCCTGCCAACCTAGCCGTTCGAAAGCAAGAAATTGCAAGTAGATAAATAGGTACCGCTTCGGTGGGAATGGAACAGCGTTCCGTGCGCCTTGGTGTTTAGTCATGCCGGCCACATGACCACGGAAACCAGCACTGACTCTTCGGCTTGGAAACGGAGATGAGCACTGCCCCCTAGAGTTGGATTCGACTGGCTTTCGAGCAAGGGAAACCTTTAGCTTATCGGTGGGGACCACGTGGGCCGCTGAACGGCTGGGGGCCCCTTTAAATCTAGCAGGAGGGAGGGAGAAGGGTGGCCGGGCGGATGGTTCCTCTTGGGGAGGAGGCTTGGGGGTGTCCCCGCCCACCCCCGGGATGGCCCCCCAAATCCCCCCATACCGGATGGACCCTACTTGGTGGCCCCTTCCACCACCACCACCAACGGGGCGTTTGTTCTGCCTCCCCGTACCCATCCATCAGCCTTTTTTTTTCACAGGGCGGGGCTGCCACATCTCCAGACTGGGTTTGAGAAAACGGAAGGGAAACCAGGAGTTCCCCCCTCCCCAGCAGAAACCTCTGTCACCCTCTCGTGCGTGCGGAGTCTAGCAATGCCGTCTTGAACGGGGATACCGTTGAGGCTGCATGAAGAGGGTGGCTGGCGTGTGGCAGTCGCGGTGCTGGGAGATTGGGTGTGTTGTGTATGTGCGAAGCCTCGGGAGGCCTTTAAACCTGAGTTGGGCCCAGAAGCAGATAGATCGCCAGCGCGGTGGAAGTTCCTCCACGGGTTCTAGTCCTGTTGAGGTCACAATTTCCTCCAACTGGCCGTGTTGCGCTCTGGCTCCAGTATCTGGCTGCTGTGGCCGGATCCATCCCAACCGCCCCGAGGTGGGAAACGAAGGAGCCCACCCTCAAGACGGGCCCCGCAGATTCTGCTGCCCGTTCCCCCCTAACGATAACCTCTCTCCCGCTCCCTCTTGTCTCCAGCAGATAATCAGCACAATGGAGACCCAGGTGTCCAACGGCCCCACGAGCAACAGTTCCCTCCCCAACGGGCCACTGATCAGCGCCAACGGTGCCACCGACGACTCCAAAACTAACCTCATAGTCAACTACCTGCCCCAGAACATGACCCAAGAGGAGTTCAAGAGCCTCTTCGGAAGCATCGGGGAGATCGAGTCCTGCAAGCTGGTCCGGGACAAGATCACAGGTGAGAGGGGGAGTCGTGCTTCGTGTCGGGGGGGCGCGGAGGAGCTCCGGCAGGTCAGGCGGGGAGGGGGCGCCTGGGACCCGAGCTGTGAGGGAGACCTAGGAAAATCCCCCAGCTCCCCCCTCCCCCCCAGAGGAGTGGGCCGCAGCCTCTTCCGAAGGCGTTTGGCTTGTTTCAAGTTTGTACAACTTGGATCCCAGAGTGGAACCTCTGCAGCCACCGTCTGACCGCATCACCCACCCTGGCTTCGTCCCCCCAGACTCCTCCGGGGGCAGAAGGGCTCCCCTCCAGCGCTCCCCCCTTTGAAGCTCCATCGTTCCTTTGTACCCTCTTCTCCACGCTGGAAATATGTGAAGTGCAAGCTTTGGATTTCAGTCATTATAGGGTTAATTTGCTTTGCCTTCTGTACTGTTGTTTAGACTGACCTGGAAGGGAAACTTGGCTCAGAGCCAATGGGAAGAGAGCCCGGGAAAGATCTAAGTCTCTTTACTAGCAGTCATCGGTTACGGTGTTCAGGTGACTTCCTTCTAGGGGTCAAGAAGAAGAAGAAACTCCAGCCAGTTTGGTGTTGTGGTGAAGTGAGCAGACTCTGATCTGGGAGAGCCGGGTTTGATTCCCCACTCCTCCACTTGCACCTGGCTGGATGACCTTGGGCCAGCCGTAGTTCTGATAAGAGCTGTTCTTGAAAAAAGAGCAGTTCTTGAAAGAGCTCTCTCAGCCCCACCTACCTCACAGGGTGTCTGTTGTGGGGAGGGGAAGGGAGAGGAGTTTGTCAGCCGCTCTGAGACTCTGAGTGAAGGGCGGGGGATAAATCCAATCTCCTCCTCCTCCTCCATTGTGGGTGACCATGTGAAAATGTAGCTCTAGGTATCTCTTTTGTTTTGTACCTTTCCATGTGAACCCTTCCCTTAGAAATAAAGCTTTTTACACAGGAAGAAATGTCTCCTCTCCAGTGAAGCAAAGATCCATTGCAAACTCTGAGTATTTAAGTATTCTTGCCTATTTTCCCCAACACTCCACACGTCTGTCGGCATTTTCTGAGGGCTGCATATCACTTGGGAGTGTCATCGTTTAATCTTGGGCTCTCACTTGCTGTGAAGGCCACCTTTAATTTATTGAATGCGTTTATTTATTTAAACTTCCTATCCTGCCTTTCCTCTGGGTTCCAGAGGGCACACGATAGTAGTTAAATCATCCTCAGCTACAACCCAAGATGAATTAGCAAGCCCCAGATCCCCCCCCCCTTTAAAAGATGGCTCCCATTTAAACCCTTTCCAAAGCTCTGGCAAACAGGCAGTCCGTGCAGTGCCTCCTGAAGGTCTCCGGTGGGGGGGTGGGGGGCTCACCTCTTCATGGCTGCCTGATGACCGCGGTTGGCACACAGAGATGTGCGGGAGGAGATGGTCCTTCGGGGAGGGGGTTGTCCCACCCAGGTCATGAAGGGCTTTGACTCAGAAACAGACCAACAGCCAATGTAGCTGTTTCCATATGGGCAACTCAGGTTCCTGAGGGTTAGCCCCTGACAGCCGCTGGGCTGCTGCATTCTGGACCACTTGCAGTTTCCAGGCTGTCTTCAAGGGCAGCCCCACGCAGAGTGCACTGCAGTAGTCCAGCCATGAGGTTGCAGAAGCATGGGTCAGCGTGGCCAGCTGAGTCTAGATCATGAGAAAGCTGGCTAATCTGATGCAGCTGACAGAAGGGGCTCCTAGACACCACGCAGACCTGCATGTCAGACAGCCAGGCCGGGTCCTTGAGCGCCCCCAAGCTCTGAGCCTCCTCTGGAAAAGCCAACGTTACTCCGTCGAGGGTGAGTGGATCGAGTCCTTCTGGACTTCCCAACAAGCGTGACCCCTGTCTTGTCTGGATTCCGCTTCAGTTTGTTCTGCCTTCACAACCCGGCCACAGCCTCAGAGCACCAATTCAGAACCAAGACAGGTGCATCTGCAGACATGGTTAGTGAGATATAGAGCTGGGTGTCGTCTGCATATTGGCGACACCCAGCCCAAAAGCTCCAGGCAATCTTCTTCAGCAGCCTCGCATACATATTAAAGAGCACGAGAGAGAAAATGGAACCCCCAAGATATATTCCACACAGTCTGGCCAGATGGAAAAGAGCGAAACTACTGGAGGGCCTACACCCTTAACATCAACGCTGTATTCAAACTGGTGGATAAGAAGGAAGTACCAAAGGCCGCCGAGAGGTCCAAGACTGTAAGATTGTCCCCTGTCCAGCTTTAAACGGAGATTGTTCACCGCTGCAACTAAAGCCGTCGTGGTACCAAACCCAGGACTTGAAACCAGATAGAAATGGGTTAAAAGCAGCTGCATCATTCAGGAAACCCTGATGCTGCCCTGTCACCACCCGCTTTTCCCTCGTCTCCCTGGGGAGACAGTTCCAGAGTGTTGGTGCTGTGGCTAAGGGTCCTCGAGGGGGAGAGTGGGGGGCAGGGAAGGGGGAGATTAAGAACACCAGAAGAGCCCTGCTGGGTCAGACCAGGGAGGGTCCCTCTAGTCCAGCCTCCCGTCTCACACAGGGGCCAGCCAGTCCCTCTGGAGGGCCAGCAACAGAGCAGAGAGGCCGAGGCCTTCCCTTGAGAAGGACACCAGAAGAGCCCTGCTGGGTCAGACCAGGGAGGGTCCCTCCAGTCCAGCCTCCCGTCTCACACAGGGGCCAGCCAGTTCCTCTGGAGGGCCAGCAACAGGGCAGAGAGGCCAAGGCCTTCCCCTCATAAGAACACCAGAAGAGCCCTGCTGGGCCAGACCAGGGAGGGTCCCTCTAGTCCAGCCTCCCGTCTCACACAGGGGCCAGCCAGTCCCTCTGGAGGGCCAGCAACAGAGCAGAGAGGCCGAGGCCTTCCCCTGAGAAGAACCTCAGAAGAGCCCTGCTGGGCCAGACCAGTGAGGGTCCATCTAGTCCAGCCTCCCGTCTCACACAGGGGCCAGCCAGTTCCTCTACACAGCCAACAACAGGGCAGAGAGGCCGAGGCCTTCCCCTGATAAGGACACCAGAAGAGCCCTGCTGGGCCAGACCAGGGAGGGTCCCTCCAGTCCAGCCTCCCGTCTCACACAGGGGCCAGCCAGTCCCTCTGGAGGGCCAGCAACAGGGCAGAGAGGCCGAGGCCTTCCCCAGTGTCGCTTCCCGGATCTGGGATTCAGAGGATTAGTGTCTCTGAACGTGGAGGTTCCCCTCAGCCACCACGGCTAGTAGCCATTGGGAGACTTCTCGTCCATGCGTCTATCTAATCCCCTTTCAAAACTGTTTATTCCTGTAGCCATCACTATATCCTCTGGCAGCAAATTCCAGATTTTAATCACTCTCTGTGTAAAGTAGAGATTTTTCAAATGTTATTTGTTTGCTTGCTTGCTTCATTTTACATCCAGCCTTTTAATTAGGGGTTTTATCATATCTGCTTTTCAATGGTCGGCTCCTGTTCTATGCGTAGTTTTTACGCTGCTTGTCTTTAATGGTTTGCCTTTCTTTACTTTGTGTTTTCTTAATTGTAAGCCACCTCGAGCCAGACTCTGAGGAGGCAGGAGAGAAACAAATAAATAAAATTATCCTTACGCTTCTCTTGTTGAGGCTTGAAGCGAATGACAGCCTTACAAACCAGTTGTAATAAAGACCAATATATTACGTACAGTAAACAGTAGAAAAGACCAGGAGTCCAGGAGCACCTGAAAGGCTAACAAAATTTGTGGCAGGGGAGGAGCTTTCCCTTCTTCACACTAACAGGGCTACCCACCTGGTGCTATTAACAGTGCAATAAAACCAGATTCCTCAGTTAGAAAGCAATGAAATAAAAATATAATACATATGTATCGTGCCATGAATGGTTAGAGCATTAACCATTTACTGTCCTTCACGACATAGAGAACAATAAAATAAGAGCACTATAACGCACACACTAAATGGTGGAATGTGGAGAGGGGCAAAGAGACCTATAAGTTTTAACAGGCGGCACGGTCCCATTATAGAATCATAGAGCTGGAAGGGACCTTCAGGGTCATCTAGTCCAACCCCATGCAAAAGGCAGGAAATTCACAAATACCTCCCCCCTCCACACCCGCGGTGACCCGTTTCATGCCTAGAAGATGACAAAAAGCCTCCAGGATCCCTGGCCAAACTGGCCTGGAGAAAAATGGCTTCCTGACCCCAACGTGGCGATCAGCATTTCCCCGGGTGTGTCAGAAAGGGCCACGAGAACTGAGCCCTGAGGCAACCCTCCCTGCCCTCCCTTCTCATGATCTGCCCAAGTTCACAGAATCCACATGGCTGTCAGAGGGGGCCATCTAGCCCCTGTCTGAAAACCTCCAGAGGAGGAGAGCCCACCACCTCCCGTGGAAGCCTGTTCCACTGAGGAACTGCTCACATTGTTAGGAAGTTCTTCCTAATGTTTAGCCGAAAACTCTTCTGATTTAATTTCAACCCGATGGTTCTGGTCCGACCTTCTGGGGCAACAGAAAACAACTCCGCACCATCCTCTATAGGACAGCCCTTCAAGTACTTGAAGATGGTTATCGTATCACCTCTCAGTCGTCTCCTCTCCAGGCTCGACATACCCAGTTCCTTCAACCTTTCCTCATAGGACTCGGTCTCCAGACCCCTCACCATCTTCGTTGCCCTCCTCTGGACACATTCCAGCTTGTCTATATCCTACTTAAATTGTGGTGCCCAAAACTGAACACAATACTCTGGGTGAGGTCTAACCAGAGCAGAGTAAAGTGGCACCATCACGTTGTGTGATCTGGACACTCTACCTCTGTTGATACAGCCCAAAATTGCATTTGCCTTTCTAGCAACCGCATCACACTGCTGACTCATGTTCAGTGTATGGCCTACTAAGACCCCTAGATCCTTTTCGCACATACTACTACCAAGACAAGTCTCCCCCAACCTACAATTATGCATGTGATTTTTCCTACCTAAATGCAGCACTTTACATTTATCCCCACTGAAATTCGTTTTATTTGTTTTAGCCCTCCAGCCTGTCAAGATCATA